CAAATTTTCAAAGAAGGAGCTCAATTCAAGAAAACAAGCTGGAGTCTCTATCCTATTCTATATGAAAAAGATATTTCCAGGTTGCCACGACGAAACTTCTCTATGACTTAAGAGAGTGAAAGAGAGCTTCTTCCATCTCATAAGTTTTGATTAACTAAATATTCGTATTAATTATATGTCCTCAGATGAATGGGAAAACTTTTTGGAGCGCATGGAAAAGGAAGGAATAGATGAATCTAGTGATGAAATTGAAGAAGAGGAGAGAAATTGGGCTTCTTTCCGAGGGCAAACTCTAAGCAGAACTGGTAGATTTATCTTTCCTCTAAAAGTTATTTCGATATAAGCTGAAATTTTGAATTTTGTCGTTACTAGAAATGTTCTTTGTTTTCTTTCGTTAACCAAAACAGTCCGAGGAATGATGTACTACAGGAAAGCACTGAAGTTGCAAGCTTTTCTTGACATGGCTGAGGATGAAGGTTTGTCATATTCAGATATTTTGATTCTCTCCCTACACCGATATTCGACTCAAGTGAACATCATCTGCATGTTTCTGTCTTGCACCAGATATCCTCCAAGGTTATGATGCAATTGAGAGGAAAAATGATACATTATCAGCTCAACTTGAAGCCATGGCAGACATGAAATTTATACATGTTGTGTCTTGTCAAATATATGGATTACAGAAGACTACTGGTGACCCTCAGGCTCAAGACATACTCAATTTGATGAAAAGGTACTTTTTCCAAGTGAAACTTTCATTCAGGGTACTTTTGTACTTGAACAGACTGTTTTCGGAAATTTAACTATGCTAATTTATCGATGTTTTGCTTAAAGGTACCCTTCTTTACGTGTTGCTTATGTTGAGGAGAAAGAAGAAATTACAGCAGACGGGCCACGAAAAGTTTATTCATCTATTCTTGTTAAAGCTGTTAACGGTTTTGATCAGGTATTAAAAAAGAATCCTCCAAGCAGTTGAAAACTGTCTTTTGCTTCATATTCTTGGATACTTCACTGTCAATATGCACATGACTTCTCAAGAAAATGCAGTAAGGAAGATCTATCTATTTGTTTTGTGTTATGTATCAAAATGAACAACAATGTCTTCTAATTCTTGGTCTATGCTTACTCTTACAAATCTTTTTCAACTGTTGTAGGAAGTATACCGCGTAAAGCTTCCAGGTCCACCAAATATTGGAGAAGGAAAACCTGAAAATCAAAATCATTCCATAATTTTCACACGCGGTGAAGCTCTCCAAACAATTGACATGAACCAGGTATTCATCAGCCTTAGGATTTTGAAAAAGAATAATCACATATATATATATATATATATGTTCTAATAGCTTGTTTTTTACAGGATAATTATTTAGAAGAAGCTTTGAAAATACGAAATATTTTGCAAGAGTTCCTGAAACACAGTGGTCGGCGTCCTCCCACAATACTTGGCATGAGAGAACACATATTTACAGGAAGGTCAGCATCTAAGAATTGTGTGATTACCTGATTATGAAACTATCTAGTACGTACATTATCAACAACAATATTTTTGTGTGTTATGCAGAACGAGTTTACTCTAGAAAGAGAAAAATAGATATTAAAAGAAAAAAAGACTAAAGAAGAGAATTTTTTGAGTAAAATGCTAAAAAAACTTTCATCCTGATTGCAGTGTTTCTTCTTTAGCTTGGTTTATGTCCTATCAAGAAACCAGCTTTGTCACCATCGGCCAGAGGCTTCTGGCTAATCCACTCAGGTAATTTAAGCCCTATATTTACATGCTTACTTTTATGTAATAGTGATCAAATGAATAATAAGGAAATTATCTTTGGGAGATAAAAGATAAGTTCTATATACCTTTGAGTTAATGGTAAAAGCATACCTAAACTATCACCTTTTCGAAAGTTTCATTCCTCAACTATCACAGTATCACTCCCTTTGTATTAAAACGCGTGTTGATGCTGAGTTAGCCTACACACACCTGTTGTCGATTAGGAACAAATATTTGGCCAACTCAGCATCGAGGTGTGTTTTAATACAAAGAGAGTGATAGTTTAGGTAGGTAAAGAGAACAATGGATAGTTGATGTATGAAACTCGCGAAAAAATGATGATTTAGGTGTGTTTTTGACCATTAACTGAATTTCTTTCCAAAAGTCACATGGTATTTTTCTTGTTTAGAAGCTCTTTGCATAAAGGAAACAAAAAAAGTATATAATGTTGTATTCAGATTGCTTACAACAGCTTTCCTTTTCCATCGAAAATTTCAGGGTCAGGTTCCATTATGGGCACCCGGATGTGTTTGATCGAGTATTTCATTTGACAAGAGGTGGCATTAGCAAAGCATCCAAAACAATCAACTTGAGCGAAGATGTTTTTGCAGGTTTTCTGTTAATGCAAAATGTTAACTTGACATCATAAAGTTGTATAGACTAGAAAACACATGACAGTATCTGATATAATGTAGGATTTAACACGACTCTGAGACGTGGACATGTTACATATCTTGAGTACATGCAAGTTGGAAAAGGTCGTGATGTAGGCCTTAACCAGATTTCAAAGTTTGAAGCTAAAGTTGCAAATGGAAACAGTGAACAAACAATCAGTCGTGATATGTATCGCCTTGGCCATAGATTTGACTTCTTTCGAATGCTCTCATGTTATTTTACAACAGTTGGCTTCTACTTCAACAGCCTGGTAACTACATTAAATCCTATAACTAATGTGCTTATGTTCTGATATGCTGATTTATATGTCTCTTTTAATTTCTGCTGTCAAAACTATGCAGATATCAGTGATTACGATTTATGTGTTTCTATACGGTCAGCTCTACATGGTATTAAGTGGTCTACAAAGAGCACTACTCGTTGAGGCAAAACTGCAAAACATAAAGTCACTGGAAACAGCTCTAGCTTCTCAATCATTTATCCAGCTTGGACTTTTAACAGGGTTACCAATGATCATTGAGTTGGGACTTGAGCGCGGTTATCTTAATGCTCTTAAAGATTTTGTTCTGATGCAACTGCAACTGGCTGCTGTTTTCTTTACTTTTTCCTATGGAACAAAATCTCATTACTATGGCAGAACAATTCTTCATGGAGGTGCCAAGTATAGACCTACTGGTCGTAAAGTTGTGGTTTTTCATGCCAGCTTCACTGAAAACTATAGACTTTACTCTCGGAGTCACTTCATCAAAGGATTTGAACTTCTGCTTCTGTTGATTGTTTATGATTTGTTTAGGCGATCATATGAGAGTAATTTGGCATATGTTTTAACTACATATGCAATATGGTTCATGTCATTTACTTGGTTGTTTGCACCATTTCTGTTTAATCCTTCTGGATTTGATTGGGGAAAGATAGTCGATGACTGGAAAGATTGGAACAAGTGGATTAATCAACAAGGTGGTATAGGGATACAACAAGATAAAAGTTGGCAATCTTGGTGGAATGATGAACAAGCTCATCTTCGTCATGCTGGGCTATTTTCGCGGTTAATTGAGATACTCCTTTCACTGAGATTTTTCCTTTACCAATATGGACTGGTGTATCACCTTGACATATCCAATCAAAGTAAAAATATTGTTGTCTATGTGCTCTCATGGGTTGTCATTGCTTTTATTTTCCTCTTGATGAAGGTAAGCTTCTTCCTGCACATTGCCTTTAATTTTCTGTGTCTCTTTTACAATGCTGATATACTTCACATCTATCACTTCGTTTTCTGGATTGCTTTGATTTGTTTTTCCTTGAGTCTAAGGTCTATTTGAGACTATACCCTCTCCAAACCCTATTTTGTGGAACTACACTGAGTATGACGTTGTTTTTCTTACTGAATTTTCCAGATGCTGAATATTGGAAGGCGGTTTTTAAGCGCAAACCATCACTTAACTTTCCGACTGTTTAAAGCTTGTCTTTTCCTAGGAGTTGTGGCAACTATTATTACCCTGTCAATCATATGTCATCTGTCAGTGAAAGATTTGATTATCTGCTGTCTAGCTTTTCTACCAACTGGTTGGGGCTTGATATTGGTAAGCCCAGTATATGTTCTTGCCTATTTCCTACACATACTTTCTCCTCTTCTCTGTCCTGTTTTTTGTCTCGTTTTTAATTGCGTAAATGGTGCTGTTTTCCTCACAGGTTGGCCAAGTAGTGAGACCAAAGATTGAAGGTACTGGATTGTGGCACTTCACTCGAGTGTTTGCTCGAGCTTATGACTATGGAATGGGTGTTGTTCTTTTTGCGCCTTTAGCTTCATTGGCTTGGCTTCCAATAATTTCGGCTTTCCAAACTCGGTTTCTGTTCAATGAGGCTTTCAGTAGGAGGCTGCAAATTCAGCCAATTCTTGCAGGAAAGAAGAAACATTAGTGATCTCTACTTTACACTACATAACTTGCATGTACACATATTGTTCTGTAACTGTAGAATAGCAAGATACTGGTAAAAACATGTTGTCACGTGGATATACTCCATAGGGAAAGCAATAGGATAGATAATTCTTTTATGTACAGGTATAGTTCTATAGTAGGCTATTGTGCATAGACATTAATGAATAATACACATTCTTAAAATCTCAAGGTTATCATCTTTCACTAGAGTGTTGGTCAAACCTGAAAAATAAGTTTTAACTTGAAACCACAACAAAACTTGAAGACTGACCCAATGCATAATGTTCGTTCGAGTCCCCTGCTGCTACCTCATCTAGAGTTTTAATGCTTTCACTATCTACCAGTTCACTGGTCCTTATTGTGGTGTCAGAATTCTCTATACCAGAGCTGGCAGTGGAACTGTTGCCAACTGAAGGTGCTACAACTGGAGGTGAATCAACTGATGAAGGTTGAGACTCTGCATCAGAAGAATCAGATTCCACAGAGCTCAGTCTTTCTGTCTCTGATGATTCTAGTTCCTCTTTAGATTTCCCTGTTGACTTCCCGGACATCACTTTCTTTATGCCACCACCAACAGATTTGCCAGCTTGTTCAAGGATTTTCTTTGTCTTGTTTCTCACTCTCCCCTTTGTGGGGTTTTTCCCATTTCCTGCACGGTTCTCTTTCCCATCTTCTGTTGGTGTTGTTGCTAATGATGAAGGTAAAATGATCTCATCCACTATAATCTTCCCTCTGATATCCTTGGCATTAACTACCCTAAGACTCACATGCATGCGGAGATGAATCAGGCTCTTCAAGATTGCCCGACTTATCCTTTTACTTGAACTTCTCCTGCAAAGCGAGCTGATCTTATGTAAACCCCTGTGCAAACGACCTGGGGAATCCCCTATGTAATTCAGGCTTAAACCAGCATTTACAAAGAAAAAGAAGATACTAAGGTCACCCACAGAACTGTACCGCAGAGCATACATGGTAAAAGTCAATGGTGTGATCAATATAACTCTGCAAACTTGTGCTAATCTGATTCTGGCATTCACCTTTTGAATCAGTACTCTCTGAAAAAATTGAGCCCTTAAGCTGGACATAACCTTCTCCCAAATGGAATTCATGTTCACCAAGTAACCGAGAATATAACAAAGCTGATTTATCGAATTAACTACTTCACTTGTAATTAATCTTAGGCATACTAAATAGAGCTCCAAATACTGAATTAGTGCTGCCAATAGAGAAAAAAAACTGAAATCCTTCACATTCAACCAAAGTAAGATGATGAAAAACTTTAAGTAAGCATATATATTAAGTAGAGGATAGACAGAACACTTTTGGCTTAATAGAAGTTTATTTTAGATAATACAATGCCTCGAACTAGTTATGTAGCTTCTCAAAGTCAATAGGAACGTCTCCCATCACCCTCCGTAATCACATCTTTGAAAGCGCCACCACTGGGAATCATAGGTAGAACATGCTCCTGATGAGGTACAATCACATCCAACAAGTATGGCCCAGGAGTGTCTAACATCTTTTGAATGGCAGCTCTAAGATCATCCCTGTGTGACACTCTTGCAGCAGGTACGCCACAAGCCTCTGCAAATTTCAGCATATTAGGGAAGATCTCTTCCTCATTAGCAGGATTACCCAAGTAAGTGTGTGCTCTGTTAGCCTTATAGAATCGATCCTCCCACTGAACCACCATTCCCAAGTGTTGATTATTCAGTAACATAATCTTAACTGGGAGATTCTCCACCTTAATTGTTGCTAACTCCTGCACATTCATGATAAAACTCCCATCACCATCAATGTCAACCACAATCTCACCCGGTCTTCCAACAGCCGCACCTATAGCAGCAGGCAAACCAAATCCCATTGCTCCTAATCCACCAGATGTCAACCATTGACGTGGCTTTTTGTACTTATAGTATTGGGCAGCCCACATTTGGTGTTGTCCCACACCAGTACTAATAATGGCATTTCCGTTAGTTAACTCATCAAGAACCTGAATAGCATATTGTGGAGGGATGGCTTCACCAAAAGTCTTATAATTCAATGGGTACTTCACCTTCTGCTCCGTTAACTCCTGCCTCCAAGCAGAAAAGTCCAACTTCAGCTTACCTTCTTTACCCTCCAATATGGAATTCAAACCTTGTAATGCCAACTTGATATCTGCACAAATGGAAACATGAGGTTGCTTGTTCTTTCCAATCTCAGCCGAATCAATATCAATATGGACAATTTTCGCTCGGCTAGCAAAAGCTTCCAATTTACCAGTAACTCGATCATCAAACCTCACCCCAAATGCAAGCAACAAATCACTACTATCCACCGCATAATTAGCGTACACAGTCCCATGCATACCCAACATTTGAAGAGAAAGCTCATCCCCACATGGAAAAGCTCCAAGACCCATCAAAGTACTCGCCACAGGAATACCCGTAAGCTCCACAAATCGTCTCAGCTCCTCACTCGATTGTGTACACCCACCACCCACATACAAAACAGGCTTCTTCGACTCCGAAATCAGCCTAACAATTTGTTCCAAAAGCATCTCATTAGGCAATTTAGGCAACCTAGACATGTAACCAGGCAACCTCATTGGCTGATCCCAATTAGGTATCACCAATTGTTGCTGAATATCCTTAGGAACATCAATCAGAACCGGTCCAGGCCGTCCCGATTTCGCTAGAAAAAACGCTTCACGAACAACCCTAGGAATATCCTCTACATCCATAACAAGATAATTATGCTTCGTAATGGATCTCGTTACCTCAACAATAGGAGTTTCCTGAAACGCATCAGTACCAATCATCCTCCTCGGCACTTGACCCGTAATAGCAACAATCGGAATACTATCCAACAAAGCATCCGCAAGACCGCTAACAAGATTCGTAGCTCCCGGACCAGATGTAGCAATGCAAACACCAGGGAACCCAGTAGCCCGTGCGTAACCCTCTGCAGCAAACACACCACCCTGTTCATGACGTGGCAGCACATTACGAATAATATTGGAACGTGTCAAAGCCTGATGAATCTCCATGGAAGCACCTCCTGGGTATGCAAATACATCCTTAACCCCTTCCCTTTCAAGTGCCTCCACAAGAACATCACAACCCTTTCTGGGTTCGTCAGGGGCGAAACGTGAAACGAAGATTTCGGGTTCAGAAACGTCGTTATGGGTCGTGGTTGATAGGATGACATTTGAGACAGTAAAACGGCTATGATGTTGGGTGTGGGTAAGGTGAAGGGGTGAGGTTTTTTTGGGGTGATTGTGGAAAGTAAAGGTAGATTTGGGAAGAAGGATGGAAGATTTTGATGAAGATAGAGGTAGGTTTTTGGAAAAACAAGGAGATGGAGATGCAGCCGCCATTGTTGTTGAGGAGCTAAACTGAAAGGAGGGGCATGAAAATGAGGAAGTGGCTATTTAATTCGAAATTTTTTATTGTGGTTGAGGCACAGCCAACAATAGTTTCCTTTTGACAAGTGTTTGCCACACACTCTCTCTTTCACTTCCATTTTCTCTAAAATAGTCTTTCTTTATCTGCATTTTTTTCCCTTTGTAAAACCCTTTTTCTATTTTATCTTTGCACCCTTTTTTAATCAATGTTTTTATAGTTTTTTTTAAAGTCCTACCTCTTAGTGCAAAAAAATATATTCATACTACTATTATTTTATGTTTTCACAAATTCATTTGGTTGACTCTTTTTTCTATTAATTCTTGTAACACACAAGAGAAAATGAATTTATAAAAATTTTGTTTCATATTTTAAAACGCTTAACATAAAGAAAATTTAAAAAGAAAATCTTGAACAAGAAACACAAAAAATTAATATTAGCAATAATTATTGGATACATGCCACGAAAGTAGAGAATATAACAAATATGAAAAAGATAAGATAATTGAGTGCTTGATATCATTAATACATTATTATTAATACTAGAGGGGCATGGCCCGTGCTAGCACGGGCCCAACAGACTCTCACAAGTAATCTTTAGTTAAAAAAATAATAATAATGGTGACAATAACAAAAATTGGTAAAAGTTTACAGGTCTGAATGAATTATATAATGTAGCATAGTAGGTATTATTAAGAGTTGTTTCTTATTATGATAATTCTGGCTGGATTAAACAGAGAACAATCTTCCGTAGAAAGAGTGTAAAAGACTTAGAGAGCTAAGTTAAAAAAAATACCACATCCTATTGCAAGAAAACGCAAATTTATATGCCATCGTTACACTTCATCTGGCTTCAAGCCGTGAGCATAACCCAAGCACACACTGCCACATGAGTGTCTTTTTTTTAAGATAAAAATTATATTAGAAAGTTATCTCATTCTAATTATCTTCAAGTTGTTGATCCAGAAATAAACAAAAAAATAAGCAAAATTATCTGAGGATAATTTATTTCAGATTTGATCTGAGAAAGCAAAAAGTATTTCAGTAGATTCAAAGCCACACCAAAAGATAGTTATGCAGCATGACAATACTTGATGTATCTTGAAATAGAAAACTTCCCAACACATTCAGTTCAACATCCACATATCACAACAAAGAATATGTTCATACACAAAGGGTGTGTTTGGTATGAAGGAAAACATTTTCCGGAAAATGTTTTCCAATTTTCTCATGTTTGGTTGGGTTAAATGTTTTGGAAAATGTTTTCCAAATCAACTCATTTTCTTCAAATTTAAGGAAAATGACTTCCCTTCAAAACTTAAGGAAAACATTTTTCAAAACTCTCTTCCAACTTCCAATTAAAAAAAAAATTGTTGAAAAAATCAATTTATTTGGTCCCTACTCTCAAACCAGCCCCCCCCCCCCCCCCAACCACCCCCCAAAAAAAAATAATTTAAAGTTTGTTTTTAAATTCAATATTTTTACCCCACCCTCTCCCCTACCCCCACCCCCACCCCCACCCCCTACACTCCAAGTCCTATTAAACTTTTGTGAAATCAATTATCGTTCATAAATCATGTATGACACAAATCATGTATCATACAACTCAAATATACTTCTTAGTTAATGACGACATGCTAGGAGAAGTTATTTAATTTGCTGCTTGGCCGCTTCAGAATAATGTTCTCTACACCAATTTTAAACCTTAAATTCCTCATTATTGTTAGTACACTATTTTTTTCTCAAGTATAATGTAACAAATTTTAGAAAAGAGAAAAAGTACACAACTAAAAAACAGAATTAACCTCAGTTGGGTTCAAAGTAATGCCCTCTGCATCAATTTGACACCTTAATTCCTCATTACTGCTAATATGCTATTTTTTCGTAATATAGTGCATGTAAAGAAACTAAATTGTAATGTCGTCCAACGTAAAATATAGGGAAAAAATAGACAATTGAATTGTATAATCAACCCAAAAAATGTCTTCTCTTATGCCAAAGATACCTTTTATGTTTGAGGAACACACCATCTATGTGATATACAATGACAACACACTACAAGTGCTTGCGCCTTTGTGAAATCACTAATCATTGCCTCGTTGGTAAACCATGTATCATATAGCTCGAATACATCTCTTAGCCAATGACGATATGATAGTAGAAGCTGCTTCACCGCTCTTGTGGTTCAACATAATGCTTCCTGCATGAATTTTAGCCCTTAAATTCTTCGTTACTACATAGACAGAAAATGATAACTCTACGTTTAAACCACAATATCCTTAGAGAAATTGAGGTTAACTTTTTTCTTATTCTT